GTGTGTGTGTGTGTGTGTGTGTGTGTGTGTGTGTGTGTGTGTGTGTGCGCGCGCGTGTGTGTGCGCGTGTCAATGTCAATGAATGCTCTGAGTCAAGTCTTCCTCTGAAGAAAACGTAGCTTACACCCATAGGCCACTCTTGGCTCATAAAAACCTCTTAGATTGTCTTTGGATAATTGACACATCCATCTGCATTATTCTAAAAGATAATTATCAGAAACTCTGACAGGTTTGTACCCTCCATTACACCGCAGCCTTACTGAAATAAGTGTTTTGCCACATACTCTCCAATAGAACATGCAGTCCTGGTGCAGGAGCAAAATAACTAAGCAAATTTCACCCGAATGGCTTTTTGTTAAAACTGCATTTTTTTGGTTGTGGCATTTGTTCACTTTGTGTTCTTTGTTTGTATTACTCATTTTTTTTACCCACTTGATTGACATTTCTTTAAAGACCCTGGTGTTCACACGCTACTATATTTCAAGATGACATTTCATATGACTGTACTGTTGGAGCCCAATAAACAGTCTTTCAGTTACATCAAACAATAGTCGCTTTTATGTTAATCCTTACTGTCCTTTTAAGTGTCTTGATTCAATTATTATTATTATTGTGACGTTCTCTATAAGAGTAATTGCCGCTAATGACCAGAAACAAACTATGAAGGAAATGTATGCACCTTTATCGATGCTACACCTGTCGGTGTTATATTATCATTTTATGTTATTGGATTATTATTATAATGTAGAAGCTGGTTTTAATAATGGAGCTGGTCGATGTGGAGCTCATTTGAACTATTTATCATTTGTAATGATAATTTGGTGTTAAAATATAATTCTTGTAAAGTAAGCCATAAATCAATGTTGTGAGGTGAAAAAGTACAATATGTCCCAGTAAATTGTAGAGTGGATGTATACATTGGAAGAAAATGGAAACACTCAAGTAAAGTACAGCTGCTTCAAAAAAAAAAGTGCTGTACTTGTTACATCCCACCAGTGTACAGCTGATTCATTTGATAAATGAAGTGGTGTAAAACGTGCAATATCTGCTAAAGTATAAAGTAGAATAAAATGGAAAAATAAAAGTATACACTAGGCCTTTACGCTTTTTCTTTTCAACCAGCTGTGGAACAGGTGTTTATTTAAACAGCCTGAACGCTACTGGTGGGGTAGCGATACGTCACTGTCTTCGAGGCACAGGTCAGCTGTGATACCGCTGCTAGGTGGCAGCACCACGACAGAGCTGTGTGTGTGGGGGGTGTGGTTGTCTCTTTCTGCCTGTACGCGCGCGCACGTGGGCGTAGAACAGCCCCTTGACTATAGGTACAGCTGTCTTATTTGTGCTCGAGCAGATGTTGCTGATCTTCGTGTCAGTGAGGAGGAAAGAGTGCGTCTTCCTCCAGCTCGACAAACAGCAGGATGTCTTCGGAAATATTTGAGAAGAAGAAGACGATAGACCTGAGGAAGAAGCACATTGGGTAAGATAATTGACAGTCTGCAGTTATATTGCTCAACAACGTTTTCAATACAGATGTTGTTTTTCAGGCTAGTTACTGTGACAGACTTCTAGAAGTGCGGCATGAAATAGTAAATAACTTTTTTTTTACACTAGAATTTCAAGAATTTGTTTCCCAATAAATTTAAGAAATTAATTGTATTCATGAATTAGGTGGTATATTTGTAGCTAAGCAGTAGTTCATTTGTATGCATTACATTGTATTACAGCCTATTTATTTCTGTTGTGCCCTTTACACACAGTATGACAATGTCTTAACCACTGTACAACATAAAAGCCTGCTAAATCAGAGTGAAGGGCACATTTTGCACATCTGGAAATGTCAATAGTTGCTCCTCTGCAGGCCGTCTTGTAAGATTTTCTTCAGCCATGACCCCATCAAGATTGTGCGAGCCAAAGGCCAGTACATGTATGATGAGAAAGGTCTCCGCTACCTGGATTGCATCAACAATGTGGCTCACGGTAAACACACACGCACAAACACACACTCGAATATAACCAGATCTATTTTATACCACTTTTATGTCCCAACAGAAACCGCAGAGCATAAAGAGGGTTGTTCTCTCTTACATACATGTGTTACATACGTGTTAGGCTGGCATTCAAATGTGCCTTCAAAGCTACAGGTGTTATATAAGAGGACTGCACACAGACTTCCCCCAACTGATCTGCTCTACAAAGTTGTCACGTAACGTACCTCATTCGGAGTGACGAAAGCTGCACTACTTGCAGACAGAGACCGGAATGTAAAACAGGATGTCTCCTGACCTACCACATTCACCACTCTTTAATTTAAGCATCTGGCCTCCAATTATGTGCCTTTTAATATCAGTTGTCATGGTATGTTTTGACCTCAAATTACAGTCGGATGATTTGAAGCGTGTGTTTTTTTTTTTGACCTGAACGTGAGGGCCAGTTCTAATCCTGTGTGCATCCTTTTCTTCCATTCCCCAGTGGGCCACTGTCACCCGGATGTAGTGAAGGCAGGAGCTCAGCAGATGGAACTGCTCAACACCAACTCGCGATTCTTGCACGACAACCTTGTACTGTACGCCCAGAGGCTGCAGGCCACACTGCCCGACAAGCTTTCCGTGTGCTACTTTGTCAACTCAGGGTATGTGGGTAAATTGATTCACGGATGCAATTATCATTTATTCATATCTTGTCTCATGCTCGGCTTAAATTACTTGAACTGTAGCCTGAGAGAGTATCCCAATCCCGTAAAGATAAAAGGGTATAATCCAGACATGTATGAGTTAACTGCAATCAAGAGGGAACAACATACGTGAGAGAGTAAGCCGGTTGTGGCAGATCAACCTCTTTGGATCAGCCTCTTGCTCTTCTGGATTTTTGAGTAAGCTGACATAATAAATAATGGTTTAAAGTGAACGTTTCAGCACAGTATTCCTATAGAGTGTATTGGATTCCGAGAAAAAAAGAACTACAGCATTATATTATGCATGTCTAGCTTGCTCAGACTTGACACATACGCCCTCGGTAACCCTAGTCATCAAACTGCACCAGTCTGGTCTGGTTACTTATTTACATCACTTGCTGGAGTTCTGCACTGTGAACAGGAATTACCTGTTTACAGATAGGTGCCACGAGAGAGAGAGAGAGTTATGAAACAGACAAAACAGAGATGTTAAGTCATTATCGCACTGGTTTTATATAACCTGGGCAACAGGTCAAAAGTGTACTCGTGTGCAATCAGATTGTACACTGAAGACAAGGAGACAAAGATAACTTATAATATGTCGCATATGGGCTTCAGGGAAATGCCACAGCATACTGCAACATTATAGACAATATTGCGCCTCCAATATTGCAGCAAAAATGTTTGGGGACCCCTTTCTTGTGTCAACATGACAATGCCCCCGGGATAGTTTTCTGACTTTGGTGTGAAAGAACCTGATTGGCCTGCAAAGAGACCTGACCTTAACCCCATCTAACACATGGGTATGAGAGGGAACACCTCACTCATGCTCTTGTGGTTGAATAGGAGCAAAACCTTGCAGCCAGGTTCCAGAATCACATTGTATTAACAGCTGTCGCAGTTGTTTTGCAATGTGATTCCATTTTCACTGTAAAGAACTGGTCCAGGTAGATAACTGATTTTGCCTTTTTAATATAACATAATAAAGCATAATTACGCTTTATACTCTGCTACCAAAATTGGATAGGTGTCACTTCATACGCCCTTACAGTACCTGCTCGTGACATCCACGGCTTCTCTTGTGTATTCTGTGGTGACTGAGTAACTCAAAGTAACCCTTGCCCCTTTGAACTTCAGCTCTGAAGCCAACGACCTGGCCCTCCGACTAGCATGGCAGTACACCGGCCACAAAGATATCATCACGTTGGAAAAGTAAGTGATTTTTGCCTCGTCATTGTTCAAAACCACCTGGTACAGTGCCAGATGACCAAAATGAATGTATACAGATGATGAGTCCTTTTCTGCAGTGCATTTTTTTTAAAGATCCTATACTTTTGTACAGTGAAAATAGTTCTGTCTTCACCATGTTTTCCACACTCCACATGATATAGGCTCTTTTCACAGCAGCAGTTTTAAATTGTCAACACATTAACAACATGAATTATGGCTGTATTCCATTCAACTGCGTCAGGGCCCTGGTATTGTGCATGCTGGCTCACCGGAATGGCTGCGACACACTAAGTACTAACAAGCCATCGATCATTTGATCAATGTACACGTGTTTACCCTGCTATGACATGTCAAAATGGGCGCGCTGCAAATGAGAGAACTGACTGGTTTGGTCGGTGGCCTGCATGCGTTTGCTTTGTTTTGCAGTGCGTATCACGGCCATGTCTCATCGCTCATTGACATCAGTCCGTATAAGTTCCACCACCAGTCAGATGCTGAGCACAATCAATCAGTCCATGTGGTGAGTGCTTCCCCCGTCTGCCTGCCTGCCTGCACACTATTCAAACACCATGACTCAACTTCCTCTACTGGGCTTTTCAAGAAGCTTCAAGAAACATTCCAGTTATTTAACCCCCCCTCCTGCACAATAAGTAATAATGGTTCTCACGCGAGTAAGACACGTCAGATTCAGCAAACGCTCCTCCCTTCAGATAACTGTGTAAATGTCGAGCATAAACATGATGAATGCCACCTGTGTGTCAAACAGAGCGTGTTGAGAATTGTAAACTGACATAATTAACGCCCTAATTATACCATATAAGGCTACGCGTCCCGCCCCATATGCCCGGAAGTGCGCACTCATGAAACGTTGCCCTTTTAACAGCGTCAGCAGTGGAATTAAAGGACCTGCTTAAGCCGCGGAATGGGGAACAATAACGAGTGCTGTTAATGCTTTGTTACCTGAGGGTCATCCTGTGTCTGGAATTAAAAAGAAATGATTCGATTTGTAAATGGTTCTGGAGATGCCTACGTTGAGAACGTTACCGGGTGCTTATAAGTATATCTGTGGACAAACAGGCACAACAAGATCAGAATGCCGTTGAGTTCAAAATGAAAGCCCAGTTCAAACAAAGGAGTCACCCACCATGGGTGTGGTCCGAGCAAGGACCTCACCCATAGTTCTTTAGAAATGTATTTGGCAGCTCTCCCGCATGATATGCCTGTTTACCGCATATGCTCACATTCAGATGAACACAAGCTAGAATGGATAGTGTCGTATAGTGTAGCCAAATGTTTCGACATGTTGGATCAAAAATGTGTATCACTTGAAAATGCAACAAAAACAAACAAGTTTACTCTTGTCGTCGTTGTTTTCCAAGATGTTAGCGGAGTAGTCCTGTCCTGTCCCTTTATTAATTACACTTGTCTTTTCCCAGCGTGAGGAGCTCTTCTATTTGCTGCAAAGCACTTTGTAAACTCTGTTTTTAAAGGTGCTATATACGTAAATAAAGTTATTATTATTATTGGGACGCAGCCGTTGCCTATGAATCGGCTTCAGTAATCGTCTCACCGTCTCGTCCCTTACACAGGCTCCCAGCCCAGATGTGTACAGAGGCAAATACAGAGCAGATCACCCTGACCCTGCCTCCGCATATGCGGATGAAGTCAAAGATATAATACACGGAGTCCACGAAAAAGGAGGCAAGGTACAGTTTGTGTTTGATACCGCTGTGTTAGCAGAAGTCACTGCAGAAATATGGCAACACATGTTCTTTGCTGGATTTTGCATTTTTACATGATGACTCTTTTTTTCTTCAAGGACATGGCCCTGAATAACAAAAAATGTCTTATGCAATGTCAATGTTCCTTGAGTATGAAAACAACATGGCACATTACCCCCCTTTTATTTATGAATACATATTGGATTTACTACTTTTTCCTTTTTCTTTTCTTTTTCTCAGGTTGAGGCCGAGCACTCTGGCGTGCGCTTAAGGTCAAATTCGAGTTCACAAGATCATGTGTAGTGAACTCTTATTGTCCAAGGTTGTTGGCCCTTAATCGTATGTTGAAAAAGCTCAAGCCAACCCCACTTCCACTGGCGAGAGGGACGGAATTTCTGCCCGGGGATTTTACAGAATGTTTCTAACGGGTGTTTGTGCAGACATGCGTCTACAGGAGGAACCCGACAACAGGAGTACAATAACCCCCATGTGATACTGGAGAGATACATGTATGTGATTAAATGTTTGCACCCTGCTGATCCTATGAAATACACTGTGTACTGTGTCCAAGTGAATGCACAGCCAGCGTTTTTTGTTTTGTTTTACTCCACAGTTGGCCTACAGTGCGTTAACATTAACTTCTGTCCAAACGTTCCACGATTGCCTCCTTCTTGTTTGTGCAACTTCCTCATGATAGCGGGAGATCCACAGGTCAAAGACGCCAGAGCTCCTCCTCTTTTCCAGTTGATCAGTCTGGCTTTAGATTGATAGGCCTGATGGTTTTCTCTTGTACAGATTGCCGCTTTTATTGCGGAGTCATTGCAGAGTTGTGGTGGGCAGGTCATTCCCCCGATGGGCTATTTCCATCAAGTGGCACAGTATGTACCCAAGTTACTGCAGAGATTAGTAAATATGTGTGCTCGGTACTCTTCCTATGTTTTGTTTTTTCAACAAAAATTTGCTTTTAAAATGTGTTAACATACTTTGCACTCTGCAAAAAATAATTCTTAAAGCAATGAAGAGATATAAACCCAGAAAGACATATAGCAGCTGCACCAGAACGCATATTTGAGAGTTTATTAGGAATATCCTCCTTTGACAGTGCTGCAGTATCAAAGAAACTGTCTTGTATCTTGTTGCTTCTATGAGTTTGTGCATTATTGAGAGAATGAGTAACTCTTTGGAGTTTACCTCCATACTAATGGATATTTTTGCTACTCTACAGGCATGTCCGCAAGGCAGGGGGCATTTTCATCGCCGACGAAGTCCAAGTGGGCTTTGGTCGTGTCGGCACCCACTTCTGGGCCTTCCAGCTTCAGGGAGAGGATTTTGTGCCTGACATTGTCACGATGGGAAAGCCTATTGGCAACGGTCACCCGATGTCATGTGTGGTCACGACCAAAGAGGTGGCAGAGGCCTTCTTGTCATCTGGAATGGAATATTTCAATACTGTAAGAGCATGATGAAGAATTGTGCAAGTGATATTATATTTTAAAATGTTCAATAACTGGTTTTAAGTAATGTAGTTAAGCTCTACAAAGAAGTACAAAGGCAGATTGCAGAGAACACACAAGTTGACCTAAAATGGCGCTGACCCGACCTCGTCCTTGAACTATATGTTCTTGTCTATATTTGCCGAGCGTATCAACACATCTGTTTTCCACATTATGGGGAAGAATACATTCCGTCCCAGCTAGTTGTTTTTTTTCCACTGACTGCCTCAGATTACAGTTACTTCCTGTGAAACAACAATAGTTTAGTCACAAATATAAGAGAATGCATTGTGTTTTCAGTCAGTTTGCTGCAGTTTGGATCTTTTCCAGTCGCATACTAAAAGTAGTTGAGTTGAATGAGTCGCCAGTTTAGCATAAACAAAAAAAAACCATACTGACTCTGTGACATTGTAAGCCTGTTATATATTGAATGCATCAAATTGCCTTGTGGTTCTGTCACCCGCATACAGAGTCTCATGATGATCAAGCTGCTGATTTTCCAAGGTGGTGAGAGTGTAACCGCGGTGTAATCTTTCCTCTTGTGTGTGGGTTTTGAATTTCTCAGTTTGGCGGTAACCCAGTGTCGTGTGCCATCGGCATGGCCGTCCTGGACGTGATTGTGACAGAGGATCTCCAGGGTAATGCACTGCGTGTGGGGAGATACCTGACCAACCTGCTGGAAAAGCAGAAAGAGAAGCATCCACTGGTTGGTGATATCAGGTAAGCACACACACAGTTACAAGGATGTGACAGTGCAACAGTTGATCTTGGACACAGCTGAGTTATATCCGACGAAATGAATGCTTTGGAGTTTGTAACTAAACGGTGTCACATCCTGCAGGGGTCGAGGCCTCTTTGCCGGGATGGAGCTTGTGAAGGACAGGTTGAGGCTTACTCCTGCGACAGCGGAAGCCCAAGAAGTTATATATCGGTAAGTGTGAGAACGCAGGTTATGACATATTAATAATAAAATAAATATGGATGCAGCATTGAAAGCAAAGAGGCTGCTTGATACTGCTCTGCAGCGTATTCTCTGCTGAGATTAACGGCACCCATGAAAAGTTCCACCAGCGTTATGATAGCTTTAGTTGTTGTGGAATATTTCTTATGACTAGTCGGGAGAAGAAAGTGAAGGTTTTCAATCAATATAAAGTAAACAGAGTCTTGATGAACGATCAAAGTTTGTAAAGTCAATTTATTTGCTTGCAAGCAAAGAGAACAGTCTCACAGACACATTGCAGTCATCTGTAAGAGTGCTCTGCCTAAACAGTCACAATGCATGGACATTTATGCTCAGACAGCTTCCTGTTATCTGCTTAGCTAACAAGAATACACAAAGGAGAACACAAAAACAGGTCATCCTTCGAGCCTTAGTATACTTCATTTAAGACAGTCAGGAAGGCGCTTTATCTCCTGTTTGCAAATCCCTTTGTTCACAGTTTGCCTTACAATAAACTGTTTAAACACACAGCAGATGCTTCCTTTGAGGCCACTGTGACATTGTTACAATGACTATTGCAGAGACAGAATAGACATTTTTTACCCTCACACATATATGCATGCAAAGGTTTACGCCTTTACAACTTCAGATAATGCGTCATAAAGGAAGTAAAAAGTATTTCAAACAGAGGATCTCTGTTAGTCAAGGCCTCTCTGTGTCTCTGTCTTACAAAGAAAGAAAGTGCACAAGATAACAGATAACAAGACACCTGGATACTAAACTAATTAAAATCATCTACTGAAACTACAGTTTGGTGTCTGCACTTTTAGGACTTATATTCTTTAAACCTTCACATGAGACTATGACATATTTTCCCATTACATTCCACTCTTTTGATTATACAGTAATCACACAATATAGTAAAAATATGTTATAAGGACATTTCAATAACAACAGAAGTATTACCCCAAAATATGATTTTAAAATGCATCATGTGAGATGTCTGAAGAAAAACTGTTTTTGTGAGATAAAGGATCTGTGGTTGTTTTCAGCCAGCAATACAATTCAATAAACACAAAAGAATAAAAAGATAAAAACCAAAAAAAAAAAAAACTGTCTTCCTGAGCATCAAAATCATCATAGGAGTCAGTGTCGCTGTCGAAGTTGTCCGCACAGTCAGATTGAATAATACAGAAATAAAATAAAAACGAAACAAGCAATAATATGAATATAGCTATAATGAAAAAAAATGCGTTTTTCGTCCTTTTGCAGAGGACCTGACCGTGCTCCTTTCCTTGTGTTTGTTGGCATAAACACATGCCGAGAGGGGCTCTTCCAGACGTCTTTCTTGCGTGGCATCAGCATTGGGACAGTTAACACAGATCACGCAAGCGTCTGTCGGTCAACTGCCCGTTGTGATTCCGTCCGTGATCACTGCATCTCCTCTGTTGGTGGCTCCGTCTGTCCTTCCTCCCTCGGTGGTGCCTGTTGGCTGACACTTGTTGTAGGTGCGAGCTCACCTGTAGCTTCAGTTGGTGCGTCTCCTGGTTCTGGAACCTTCTTGCAGTGGGACGCGTGGACCCAAGTTGCCCTCTCAGCTACTTTGACAGCCGTCTGAGTGACGAGGAGAACCTGAAATGGACCCAGCCAGCGTCGTGAGTTCCAGTGCTTCCTTCTGAAGTCTTTCACCACCATGAAATCACCAGGTTTCAGCTTGTGGAGAGGTCCTTCAGCTGGCCTCGGGAGAGCGGCAATCACCTGTTGTCTTATGTTAGATAAAGCAGAGGACAATTGTGCACAATATGTTAACATTTCATGTTCGCATAAGGCGGTTGAGGGAAGTGGCGCCCCTGGTGCTTCAGTTCCTACATGAGGAGGAAAACCAAACAGTATCTCAAAAGGACTCAGATTGCTTCGTGTTCGTTTTCTCATTCTCATGTACATCAGAACTAGAGGCAGAGCTTTTGTCCAAGGCAGACCTGTGTCAGCACAACATTTTGCTAACTTGGTCTTAAGTGTACCATTTTCTCGTTCCACAGCGCCACCACTGGCTGGATGGTAAGCACAGTGTGTTCTTAAGTCGATACCAAAGTATGCGCTTAGTTCTGTAATGGCCTGATTGACAAAATGAGAACCATTGTCGCTTGATATTTTAGTAGGAATGCCCCAACAGGGAATGATTTCAGAAATCAGAGCCTTTGCTACCGTTGCAGCAGTTTGTTTACTCGATGGAAAAACTTCAACCCACTTGGACCACATGTCTACCATCACTAGACAGTGTTTCTTACCTTCAGATGGAGATAGCTCAACAAAATCCATCATAATGTGCTCAAAAGGGCGTGTCGGAGGCGGATGTGCAGCCTGGCTGGACACTGCCACGGGCCTGCCTACATTGTGAGTAGAGCAGGTTACACATGCAGAACAGAATTTTTGTGCACATGCTGTGAATCCCCTTGTGAACCATGTCTCATTTAATGCACTCAACATTCCCCCTTTTGACACGTGGTCTAACCCATGTGTCAACTTAGCATAATGGCTGAAATAATGCTTAGGCAGACATGGTTTAGCATCAGGCCCTGACCACAGTCCATCAGTGTATGTGCAACCCGAAGCTGACCACAGCCTACGCTCTTCCGGATAGCATAGCTGTAGCTTCTGCATAGCTGTAAGAGAAGAGGAAGCTGAGACAAATGAGGACATGAGAGCAGGGGAAGTGGGGACAGGAAGTCGAGCAGCAGCTTTTGCAGCATCGTCTGTTCCCAGTCGGTAAGTGCCTCGCATTGTGCAACGAATGGACCCAAATCCCGCCACTGATCCTCGCGTCCTTTTGACAGCGAGATGTGTGGAGCTGAATCTGGAACATCAAACAGTTCTTTCTGTGATGGAGTCAGAGAAACAGATACAGCAGATCTATAAGTAGACCAAAACAGTGGGGAACAGGCAATTGCATCATTGAGGCCTTCAAAAAACTTGTCCTCATAGCAAACATCTTGTCCTCTAGAAATGTGTGAGGTGCAGTGTAGATGTTTGTAGTTCATGCAGTCGGCATGTGGTGAGACACATGCCGACCGCAGAATACTGTGTGACAAAGTCGTTGTGCATCATCAACAGGAAGCCACCATTGATAGGCAAAAAGTGACAGAGGGAGTCTGTATCATTTGATGTACGACTCTACGCCTAAGCACTTTAAGGCCATCAGAGGATGACGTCAGTCCTATCCCATAAGCGCACATTAAGTCTCTGCCCATTAAGTCAATTGGACAGAGGGTCGAAAGTTTCACTTTAATGTCAGGATCGTGGTCAGTCTGGTCGGAGTGTACACTCGTCATAGGTACAGTAAATTTTTCAGTTACAGTTACCCCAGAGGCCCCCTGTGAATATACAAAACGCCCACTCATCTTTTGATGAGGAAAATGTTTCTGTTGAATTACAGAGTGAGTAGCCCCAGAATCTACTAAAAATGTTAATTCTTTCCCTTCCACAATAACCTTTGTAGTTGGCATATTTTTGTATGACTCTGATGAGAACATTGAATAAGTGTGTGGTTGTGGTGTAGATGCATTCACTTGTTGTTGCTCCAAGTGTGAAATGACACTGAGGAGTATGGATTGTTGTTCTGCAGTGTGCGTGCGAGGAAGCGTGTGTGCGTTGCAGCAAATGTGCGCGTTGTGTGTGCGTACTGAGTCAGTGTGTGTGTGTGTGTGTACTTCTCTGTTCCGGAGTTGAGAGGGAGTCAGCAGTCTCCTGCCCACGTGCATCGCCTCGCCTCCCCACATCGCGTCAGTCAGAAGTGCCAAATTGTTGATGTAAGTCACCCATCCGTCTCCTCCGTGCTGTCGGCCACGTGGCTGTCGTGATCCGCTGTGTGCATTACGATGTGGGCAATCTCTGAACCAGTGTCCTGTCTCTCCGCAGTGGAAGCATTCGTTGTCTTGCGTCACACGTGAAGCGCCTCTTTGGCGGCCATCTTGGAAACGCCCTCTTCCCTGTCCGTGGTGTTGTCCTCTTCCACGCCCCCTTTGCTGACCCCACCCAAAGTTGTTACGTGGTTGGGTGGGTTGGTTTTGGCCTCCCGTAACTCCTAGCGTCATCTGCTGGACAGCTTGAAGCATCGCAAGCTGAGCTCTTTCTCCAGTTTGTTTGGAGAACTTTTCCTGTCTAGCTTGAGTGTCATTGTGCATTTTGCAGTTGTGTCGTGCGTGTTTTACCACTTCATCAAGTCTTGCGTCCTCCAGGCCAATCACGGAGCGTTCGGTGGCTGTTTTGATGTCTGGCAGCAGCCGGTTCACGAAAGCATTCTTGAGATGTGTTTCCCACACTGACATTGCTGTTTTGTCAGCCGGTTCTTTAATACCATGTTAACTTTTGAGGGGAAAGCTGTTTCTACAGCCTCGCAGACGGCTGTGATGAAAGTGACATATGGACCGTTTTCCATTGCTGTCCAGACAAGCTTGATCTGGCGGGTGTCATGGCCAGCCCCTGTAACTGTGGCCCTGATTATGCTAAAGTCAGTTGGGCCAACATGTTTTACCAGCAATCGATGCACTTCTGGGCCGGTCGGCATAAATTCTTTACAGAATATCAGGAAGTCTTTTGCGAAATCTGCGCCATTCTGGATGCTTGGCAGATGTAGTGAGGCCTGCATAATGTCAGCTTGAGTCCAGGCTCTGAACACGAGACCCAGAGCACCATCAGCGGGTCCTGGAACCTGAATCATGGGCCCCTGGAAAGCTTCGGATGTGTCGAGGTTGAAGACTGGTATGGGTGTGTCGGGGTTGAGCCAGTTGACGACAGCGCCGGCTGCACCCTGCCAGCTATGCGGGTCTGTGTAGGACCATGAGGTGGCAGGTGTCAATGTTGCAGCCGTCAGAGGAGAGACAACCGGGTTGTGGTGAGGTGAGGCTGGACTCTGTCGGAGCTTCTCGTTTGCCAGGCGAGCCTGTTCTTGCTGTTGAGTGTGGAGCCGGGTTGCTGGTCTGCCCACCAGTGGTGCTTCAGCGTGTGGTGGAGGTGGTGGTGGTACGCCATCCTGTGGGGAAGGTCGGTAACACGTGTCCAGGAGGGGGCCGCTCGCTCCTGTGAGACTCGGATACATAGCAGAGGAAGACAATAATGGATTATGTGTGTCTGGAATCAGTTTTTCTTCTTTTAAACACGTCAAAGATTTCATAACTCATTTTCCCACTGTGTCAAACACATCTGGTTTTTCTCTATCATTTCCAAGTCTTTGACTTTGATTTTCTTGCCATTTTTCATCTGTTTTAATTTACCTTCTAAATCCCCTCGTAACATTCTAAACACCCGTCTCCGTGTTTCTGTCGCATCATATCCACTATCGGACCCGAGGGTTCCGTGCTTTTACTCTGCTTACCACCCATATTTCAGGCGTGGACACGTTAACGTTATCTTAAAAACAATATAGTCGTCACCACAAAGCGTAAGTTTCTTTACCGAAGGAAAAAACTATTGCAAAAACCTTATTTGAAGTTCACGTTAAGTTAGTTTATCACGATTCTTATCCTATCAGTTTCGTTAGTAGAATTCACGTATTGGATAATTTAACAACGATCTTACATCAAACCTATAACAATTGTAGTCAAGCGATCTGTGTTACGATCTCAAAATGTTTTTATTCTGAGTTAAATCATCACCGTATAACACAATCCTGTCTGCTACGTAAAAGCGTGTAATAGTGATACGTCAGAAAACGAAAAGGGAGTTTACATGAACCATTCGTAAAACAAAACCACAAACGTCAAAAACAATTGTGTTACCCAAATAATAATGACTACTTGATCATTCATCTGTGTCTGTTAAATTATACGATCTTAGTATAATTTTACAATTACTTTTACAATTAGAATTTTAACTTCCTTACCCGATATTGTAGAAATGAATTCTTTTGTCGTTGGATTCGCGTGCCGTCAATCAGAAACTCCTCGGTTTCCGCCGGCTCTCTCTTCTCTTGTCTAAGGAGGTATTGAGACAGGAAACGTCAGTTATTGAACCTGGAAAGGCCTTTTCTCCGGACGGTCCCCCTGGAGCCTGATGGACGGTCAGCGAACCCTGCCGACAATGCCAAGTTTGTTGTGGAATATTTCTTATGACTAGTCGGGAGAAGAAAGTGAAGGTTTTCAATCAATATAAAGTAAACAGAGTCTTGATGAACGATCAAAGTTTGTAAAGTAAATTTATTTGCTTGCAAGCAAAGAGAACAGTCTCACAGACACATTGCAGTCATCTGTAAGAGTGCTCTGCCTAAACAGTCACAATGCATGGACATTTATGCTCAGACAGCTTCCTGTTATCTGCTTAGCTAACAAGAATACACAAAGGAGAACACAAAAACAGGTCATCCTTCGAGCCTTAGTATACTTCATTTAAGACAGTCAGGAAGGCGCTTTATCTCCTGTTTGCAAATCCCTTTGTTCACAGTTTGCCTTACAATAAACTGTTTAAACACACAGCAGATGCTTCCTTTGAGGCCACTGTGACATTGTTACAATGACTATTGCAGAGACAGAACAGACATTTTTTACCCTCACACATCATATATGCATGCAAAGGTTTACGCCTTTACAACTTCAGATAATGCGTCATAAAGGAAGTAAAAAGTATTTCAAACAGAGGATCTCTGTTAGTCAAGGCCTCTCTGTGTCTCTGTCTTACAAAGAAAGAAAGTGCACAAGATAACAGATAACAAGACACCTGGATACTAAACTAATTAAAATCATCTACTGAAACTACAGTTTGGTGTCTGCACTTTTAGGACTTATATTCTTTAAACCTTCACATGAGACTATGACATATTTTCCCATTACATAGTGCACTGTGAAGAACACGTATCACACTAAAGGCTTATCAATTTATGGAAGGATAATAAAGTTGAATCGTAAAAACATATGTACTCCTGTGTATAATATTTGAAAGTAAGAGCTCGTTATCAAATCATGATATTTTCATGTTCAGCTTTTGAAATCAAAATGCTGCATGTTCTGCCACTTGTAATTATTTTTATTATCAGTATCTGACATTCGATCAAGGTTCAATATCAACTCAAATTGTCACAGGTGTAATTAATAACGATCATTAAGGTTGCGTCCATTCAGGTGCGCCTGCTATTGTTCATGCAGGCTCACTGTCATTGCTTCCTGGACACTTGCATGAAGCAGAGCCGTCGTTTAATATCGTTGGTTCCACCTGTGCTTTTCCTCCTACATGCGGTCAATACATCTGCTGTTAAAGCGGCTTTTTTAAATGACAGCCACTTAGTTTAAATGTGTAAAATTGATGCAGTGTGGAGAGAATAATTCATATTCCCCCCCCCAGGCTAAAGGAACAGTACATCCTTCTTAGTGCTGACGGACCTCATCGCAATGTGCTCAAATTTAAGCCCCCCATGTGCTTCACTACGGAGGACGCTGACCTGGTGGTGGAGAAAATCGACCAAATTCTCACAGGTACATGCTGTTCCCTTACGCTACTTTTTTTTTTTCTCTCTCTGGTGTTGTCTAGGATGGTGGCGCTGTAACGCTTCGTCTTTCTGGCTTGTGCATTATTTAAAACGATCAAAGTTTGTGAAGGTTGCCTACAATCACTGAACGAGCCCTCGTTGTATGCGTTATTGTGTTTCCAGAGCTTGAACAAGCATTGGGCTTGAAGATGCACAATGCATTGGGTGTAGAGAATGAAAGCAGCAAAAGAAAGGTAAGTGTGACTCTGCTTATTTTAAATGCCATTCGTGCCTAAAATGAACCTAAAGATATTTGGACCAAAGATTTAGGCTATTGAATCTTGCATAAAGAAGACGCATGTATAATGGGCAACCACAACAAATGTCTACATTTTCAATTTACATTACATTTTCAATTCAACTTCTTCATCTCATGGTTTTATCTCAAGCTGCCAACTGATGAAAATGGACACCAGTGTCACAGTGGGTTAGCACACGACACAGGGAGCAGTTGAGGATTTCCTCAACAAACCAAACGCTTCAGGACATAACGCTGCCAGCAAACGGAGTCAGAGCTGTGAAGTGACAACACTTTATCTTTTACCGAGTTAAAAAGCTGAGTTCGGACATAATAAACTTTAGAGGTGACAAAATGCTTGGGGGGGGGGGAAATAAAGTGCCTTTGCATGTAACCTGATTAACACAGTATATCTCTGAGATTGCAGTGTCTTCTCAGGTACTATTTATTTTTATTTTATTACAAGCCACTTGTCCCCATAACAACATGTCTATTATGGGTTTTTTTTGGTGCAAAACATTCCCTTAATTATGAAAGCTACCACGCTACACAACCTGTGTACTCTTAATTTTAATATCCGTCAACATTCACTTGATCATGATTTTCAGGGAAATCAGATGTTGATAAATCATAAGTAAATAAATCAAAAGGTAATATGTCAAATAATCCAATGGTGTCCTCATGTCTTAAGCCTTCATTTACAGCTTTCACTGATTTAGAAGCATTACTCACTTTTGTTAAAATGTGTGCAATACCTGTTTAGACCATTGCACATTTTGTGGTGATCAATCTGTTTTGAATAAAATACTGTATGTGATACTTTGTTAATAAATGGTGGAAAGTCTGACCCTGACCGCTGCCTTAAATCAAATGCAGATTGAATCAAATGCATGTATTTGATTCAATCTGACCACCCACGAGCCACTGATCACAATGTATAAGATGAATGCAGAGACAAAATGAAGGAAGAGACGAGGGAGTGGTGGTATTCTATATTTTGATAAGAGCATTTTGCTATCAATTAACGTCACAGATGTGTCTGAGGGTTGAAAGTACAGCGGCACTTTATGACTGTGGAGTATGTCCTCCCCTTTTATTACTTCCAATATGTAGATCCATTATAGATTTTACCTCCTGAGTACATTAGGCAATTATTTACCATCAGTTTCTACCACATGTATCTGCCTAGTATCCTTTGTACAGTATTTGGACTTGGGGAAGTACAGCTGTGAACTGCATTTCCCATGTGTACTTGCATGACAGCACAGGTGTGGTCCGTTTGATGTGATTATAAGATCTGGGATTTCCATTTTTTATCAATTATCTGATGTAATGAGGTTCTAGTGAACAAAAGCTTCACAGTCATTAAATTCTTGCAAATTCAAAATGTAAATCTCATTATTTGTGGTCTTCTGGAGCCGTAGCATCATGGGTGAGATGGTGACTATAAAACTGCCTTGGATGATTTGAAGCATAGCCTATGAAGTAGAACCAGAGAAAACAGAAATTTGCTGAAACAGCAATAATCGTGAGCAGTCGCGTCATATTAAGGCATAAATTAGAATTTTCAACACAAGTTTTGTTTAGTGTGCGTCCCCACACAGATGGAAAACAAAGACTTATCACCATTTACAATGCAGGAAGTTATTCCCCTCTCTGCAAAAACAGGTTGAAGAGGAGCTACAACCAATTACCCATTGTCAACAGATGGTGCTTTAGCAGACTCGGCAACTCGCAGTGTAATGGGGTGTGTATTTTATGCACTGCTGAACCAAATGGTAACAACTAGAACTGTGAGGTGGACCTGATTTGAATCGGAGGTGTAGACAAAAAAACAGTCCTTGATTTATTTATCATATGACATCTTAATAACCTTAAAACCTCTGGCACTCACGTAGGACGCAATAACCACAAGCACCCAATATCGTTTGACCTCAGGATGGATAACCACCACTTATACATCTCTATGAAATCACATTAGTGTCATTAGGCTCAGAACTGAAGTCACATTACTGTGTCCAGTGTTGTCTTGATACTGGAAGTTTCACCTCAGTACAATGTGGCAACGGCCAGGAAACACTTCTGTCTGGTAGATCTCTGACGCCATCTTCTGGAGGCCAAATTACAATTCTCGTGCTGACTTATTGTGTGCAAACAGGCCACAAAATGTATATAAATCTTTACCCTTTGGTGCAGCTCTTGACACGATGTAGAAAATAACTAAATGTGTTTATATAAACAGTACATACAAACAACAACTGCAAGGAGCTCTGAAAAGAAGATTTATTTCACATACTTGTACAAAAATGCAACTGTGACAAGTTATAGGCCGTTACAACGATTTCTTTACAAAAACGTAAAACTTAAACATTAATCTGCCCTTTTAAATTATTCATATAGTGCTAATCCCAAAACAGTGGCTGCATGCCAACAGTGTTCAGTAACTTCCTCTCCTTTTTCTACTCCAGTGACCTGCTGCATGGCACTACTAGCTCATTGCTTGAGTTTGCAACAGATGCACTACACTGAGAGGGACCTGGATATCATGACCAAAAAGGTCCTAATGATGTCGCTGTGACACGTGCATGTGATCCTGTGCTGCATCAGTTTGTTTGGAGATGGAGAGAGGGAAGAAAGTCAAAGAACACCAATGAGACAGAGCCAGTGCGAGACCGTCAGTGCAGCCAGGTCTAATTTCTTGAGCAAGGTCAGTGCTTTCAGTCCTCAATGGTTGATTATAGAAAGAGTTGCGTTTATCCATGTTTTAGTTCGGCACCTATGCGTTGATGTCCTCCGTCCATCCAAATCATTTTAAGCGTGCTCCTTTTGTCTTTAGCCCATGAGGTATCCTCTGAAAAGACAAATTATTCATTTGTTAAGACATTGTGACGCAACAAATGTAGGTTCAGGGCAGCATTGGTGTGTTAAAATAATAACTATTATGGGCGTAGACTTACGGCAGCTTCATGCGCATGAATACTCTGGCCATGAAGAAGCTGAGGAGAACGCTGACAAAACCGATGAAGAGCAACAGGAACCGGTTGAGTTTGGGAATGTTTGGTGCATTGGAGCGGTCCAGGATTATAAAGCCCAGGCCTCCCATCGTGAAAAGGAAACTGGAAGCCAATCCTTCCATAATGTACTGTCCGTTTACTCTGAAAAACAAGTGTACTTACATTGGTTATGCATTATTTACTGTGGCTTAAATATGACGTGACCATCACCTACTGGCTCCAGGTGCTCACAATGTTTTTACTGGCGTACCTGTAAGCCAAGAAGGCCACTGGTCGCTGGTGTCCATGCTCATCAGTCATTGAACCCACACTTGGTGGCTCCACAATAACATCGTAGATGATACCTAGAATGGGAATCAATCACATCGTAATTAGAGCAAAGTTAAAGCGCCTTCATCAGCAAGTTAAACACAACAGAGCTACTAAACCTGATTGAAAACGTGACATTTCCACTACTAACGTCATAGCTGGACCATAATAATCACAGAAGAATCATTCTTGTGCTAGCTCAAAGTTAGCTTAACTTACTCCCTCGTTCATTGCGTTAAAGCTAGCGAGCTGTTTTAAACATGCAACCACAGGCTATAACCTGGCTTTATTTGAACCGCACATTAATTACATGTTCATGACAAGCCGAGACAAAGTATATTCGTCGCTAACAAGCTAGCATTAACGTTAGCTTAGCACATGCATTTTACCTCCAGTGATGAGAAAGTAGGACACGATAACTATCGCATACACAGTCATAGCCGACGGCATGTGCAGCCACGACGGCTTCTTCAGCTTTACATTCGGGCATTCCAGCAACACAAACGGCATACTGTACAATGTCTCCATGTCTTGAACAGAAATTCCCTCTGACTGCAGAATAGATGCTCTCTGACTGATATCCGCCTGCGAAGCGACTATGTTGACGTGTCCCGGAAGTACATCCTTTGTGCAAAGCGTATGCACACAAGTTTTATTCGGCGATTTGAGTGTACTGCACCCCGTCCAAGCAAAAATATTTCCTAAATAGTTATGTTATAGTAAATGCTTTAAGAATTGTAATTGTGCAATTCAGCTACATTTAAATAGCTTTTAACTCTTCTTTCAAATGTGGCGGTCAACACAATGTATTGTGGCCTCATTCATAAGTTTCGTAAAATTAATTGACTTTGTAGTATGTAAATGTTTAACTGTAGATAATGTATATTTTCAAGTAGCTTGATGGATATATGCTTCACTGTGGGCAAAAGTACAATCTCTTATTTACTGAATACTGAATTCACCGTAAATCAAATGAGCTTTTTAAGTCTGAACAAAATCACTGCATACAAATATTTGGGTTATGGGACGGTGCACCAGGGAATCAGTGTAATCCCTTTGCCCCTTAAGGCCAACTTTCAAACTTGGACAAATATAACTGTCCATTTAAAAAGATGGTTGTGTTTGTTATTAAATGTCAGCTATCTTTGCCATTTGTTTTCTTTGAACACAAATGTTTATCACTGTCAAAAATAATCGATGAAACTACTGTTAATATTTCATCATATACTGCATTTTATTTGTGTAGATCAGGGGTGTCAAACTCATTTTCACTCTGGGCCACATCAGCGTCATGGTTGCCCTCAAAGGGCCGGTTGTAAATGTAAGACTGCGTAAATGTAACTACTCCTAACATATTGTTAAATAACTCTCTGCATTTGATTATTGTTTATTCAAGTGTAAAAATATTGTACATGCAGTTATATAAATGTAAAAATATATTTAAGCACATTTCTGTTATTATAACTTAAATCCTTTTAATTTAGGGTTACGAAACCCACATTACTCTATCAAAGATCAAACTATTAAAGAAAATATCAAAGACAAATATCAAACACAAGTTATTACAATAACTTTGTTCAAAGCTTAAAATCCTTTCAAGGGTGCGTTTGCACGGTCCCACGTGAAGTATTCCATGTGTTTTAAAGCACATGAAATTAAAGGGCCGCGTGCGAAATACTTCACGTGGGACCGTGCAAACGCACCCTTGAAAGGCCCCACGATGGGGCCGCGAACGCAACCTAGAGGGCCGCAAAAAACTTTCAGTTTTGCACCTGTGGGCCGCGAAGGCCGCGGGACCGCATAGGTTATCAATTGAAGACACCAGAGATATTACTGTTCTCCATGAGACGCTAAATTACAATATAGCTTCCCACCACCCGGTGGCGGTAATGCGTCAGTCAGTTGTTTAACAAGCTACAAAAAGCAGAAGAAGACACTCAGATGGCCGCTAGCCCAGGCATGGGCAAACTACGGCCATTGGGCTTTTTAATCTGGCCGGTCAAATATTGGTACAAAATTGTCCAAACTATAATAAAGACAAGAGCTGGGCAGTATACCGGTTTTAATTTCCCGTATAATATGAATTCCTCACACACCATTATACCGGTGCATAGCCAAAACAACTGCTGTCGGCTTTCAACAGGCAGCTAAATGTATTCTTTGCTGCTAACGCACAGCGGTCAGCGCTAGTTGTCTTATATGTATTGAGAGGGAACCCTAGTCATGGTCATAACTTTATAACACAACAATTAACAACCCACAACTAATGCTCTTTAACAGAGAAAAACACAACAGCACACAACAGTCTGTGACACATAAACAATTTGTAACACTAATAATTGTACATTTATAAAATTTCACCGCGAGCGAGCCTGCTTGCTAGCACAACAGTCTGCTAACAGCTGGGAGAGGCTCCATCGCTCCAGTAACGTTACATTAAAGAACAGAACAGAGCGATGCAGGATGAACAAAGACAGACCGGAGCAGTGTTACATCAGTGTTATATCATTTAATGAATCATAAACATTATATGATTTAACCACTAGAGGGCAGCAGTGTTAAATCATTTAATGAATCAT